AGAAGCCCCCGTGGGCTCCCGAAGACCCACGGAAGTGAATTGCCGGTGAATCAACCAAGTACAAGTCCGCTCATCTCCAGCAGCATCCTTGCTGAGTGCAGGCTTTTATCAGAGATGTGTGCAATTAGTTTGTCTATGTTTCCTGGAATAGTAGAAATAATTTTATCTTGTGTAACGTTTTTCTGTCTAGGACTGTAATGAGTCTTCTAAAGTACGTACCTCTGCGTAAGATAAAAATAGGTTGGTGTCAGCTGTGGGCAGTACAAGTTTATTTTTCAACTTTGTTTTGCATGACAACAAAATAAATAACACACTTTTGCTATAATTCCTAGTTATGATCTACCCAAGAACACTTTTTTTTTTTTTTTTTTTTTTAAATTTTCAGGAGCAGGGTTTCCTCGAGTATTCTTAATTTCTTCATGAGAATGGCTGTTGAGAGTATCATGCCCAACCCTGAGCTAATCCTCTTCTATTATGTCATAGTTTTCATCTTCATTTTGTTCAGAAGAGGGAAATAAGCAAAAGGCAGTGCCCAGTGTTGGATGTTGAAATGTGCACAGGTACAGGCTTGGAGGGGTGTATCCTGGTGATGTGTTACTGTTTGCATTGCCTGTTTTCTGTACCTGTATTGTTCTGCTGGTTTTGGGTTTTGGTGCTGGCAAGAGACAGGATAATGAGCCAATCTGATACATGAAGTTCTTTTTTACAACGCTTGTATTTGTGCTGTTGAGAATCCAATGAATCAGTACAGGTTTTGGGTGGTTTAGGGTTTGGTGGTTATTAACAACGACAGATGCTAAAATACTTGACAGGGCGGGATGCGTGATTGGTAAGATGGTATTTTCAATATAAGGAGTTTGTTTATGCATTAATGTGATGTGGTTAGATGTAAAATTAAAAAAATTTCCATCGCAGCTCTTTCTTACATACCTTTAGAGGATATCTTCAAAACAAGTGTGATAGAGGCCAGGTCAGTAGCAGGATGTTGACTTGTGTTGGTGATGGTGGTTTGGGGTGTTAGATTTTATGCTACTGATTGTTTGGTAAATGTTTTCTTTTCTTTAAATGAAACATCCCATGTTTGGTTATGGTGTGCGGTGGAATTGGTTGCAGATATGTTAAGTGCGTGCTTAAACTGCAACAGCAGTATTTGGCATTTAACGTAACCTGATGGCGGGGACGCGGAGAACAAACTGAAAGAGCTTATTTAAATTCACATTAATAAGGCATATGCAGAATGCTTTATACATACATAGTATTCTGTAAAAAGTTGGCTTTTGAACGTCTTCAGATAGACTTTACGCCATTTTCATCAACATGCAAAACTTTTGTCTTTTTTTCTCTTTTGGCAAGGGTCACCTTGGGCAAGTAATTCACCATACATTTCAGTTCAACTTTTTTTCTTCTTTCAGTTTGCCTTGTATGAGCTCCGGTTCCAGACAGAGTTTCTAAACTCCATTGCATCCCAACTAGGATTAAGTTAATTGTCCTTTTGCGGTTATTAACGAAGGTTATGTGTGCTCGAGGAGCCCTGCATCTTTGTGATATTGTACACGGTAATCACTTCAAAGCATTTAAGCACAGATGTGCTGCTCAAAATCAGGATAGTTAGCTCACAACTTTTTACGTCTGATTTTTTTTCTTAAGGTAATAAAATTTGTATGCAAGATGGCTACAGTGTTTCTAATCAGCCTCATTGCACACAAGAGGCGTTTTATTTCTGCTTTAGTTTTTAAAGCCTGCGTGCTTCTATTACAAGTGCTGCTGCTTAGAAGTACAGCTCACATCCGTGATGATATACTAGGTTTGTATTGTGGAAGAACCCCGTCTCATATATTCTGTGACCTGTTTCTGTTTACTTTTCTGCTTATATGCCAATGGTGTGACTTTTTAGTTTTAAGATACATTGGAACGCATCGTGTTGGATCTGATATTAGCATTATTCTTTCCATTTTTAGGTTGCGAGAACAGCAAGTAGGCCCCTGGCAGCTGGAGATATCTCTACTTTTCAGTCCTTCATTTTTCTTGGGGGACAACTTAGCTTGGCGCTTTGTGTGCTTCTCTGTCTGAATTACTATAGGTGACGTATAAGTTATCTTTTGTTTTTAAAAATGTGATTCTGGGTCCAGACTTAAGCACAGAAATTTTCAGTAGAAAAGATGTTGGAGGCAAAGGGAGGAGATTGTTAGTCATGGAACTGTATTTGAAAGGAAAAGAATTAGTTTGGTGCTATGTGCAGCTGCTGTAATGCTGCACTAGATCTTGTGATCTTTAGACTGGCAAACAATAAACCTCTTGGTACTTTTTACAGTATTGTTCTGGGAGCAGCCTCTTTGTCTCTTGTGATCACCTACCCTCTGATGAAGAGAATAACATACTGGCCACAGTTAGTTTTGGGTGAGCTGGAAATATTTTTACTATTTTTTTCTTCAGATGTAGTTTTTGAGGTTTTTTTATAAATTAGTAATTGAACTTCAGCAAATAAAAATACCTTCTAGACAAAGTTCTGATGTGCCACAGGCTTCTTAAACAATTTATAACACATGTAAGAATTGTTTGGGTCTGGGGTTTCTTTGGTTAAAAAATCAGTTCATTATTTTGACAGGGGGAGGGGAGGGAGAAAATATGTGTCATTTGAGAAGCAGCTTTAGTTTTGGAGTTATCTTGAAACCTTTCTTAAACATACATTTGTCCTGCATTTCAGTCTTCAGCCTCTAAAATAAGTCCTGTGCCGAAACCGATGGTGCTTGTATTTCAGATTGAGCTACTAAAACCTGTCTTTGTATCTGGGCCTTCACGTTCCAGCTGCCTTCAGCTTTTTCAACCAAAATTGTCATTTTCAGCCTTGAAGTACCATAGAGGGGTGCTGTGCATTCTTTTGCAGTCAGTTATACTGACATCTTTTGTTATACTGATGTCTGTTGTTTGAGTACACTGGAATAGTGCTGTGCAAATGATTCGCTACGCTAATGAAGTCAGATTTAAATTGGGGGAAAATGCATGACTGTACGTATTTCTCCTTGTATGTCCAGAGTATTTAATGTCAAATTACTTGTATTTATTACCTGCCTGAAAATAACTGGTAGTAAAATAGAGATGCCAGTATTGTACAAAAAGCTGCTGATACAATATACACTTGAACAAATGACATTTAATTCTGTACATTTAACTTAGATTCCTCTTGGCAATCTTGTAACTTTTTTTCTTTCTTTTACTCTCTTTGTGGTTTTAGGACTTACATTTAATTGGGGAGCCCTTCTTGGCTGGTCTGCCATCAAAGGGTCGTGTGAGTGGTCTGTGTGTTTGCCCTTGTACTTCGCAGGAGTAATGTGGACGCTGGTGTATGATACCATTTATGCACATCAGGTAGAGTAACAGTGGGAAATTTCAGGTATATATGTATGTTTGTGTGATTAATTTACAACTTTCTTGTCAAACAGCAATACTGTCTATTGCAGTTCTTTACCCTTTGCTGAACTAAAACAGCACCAAAGAAACTGCAGCCCTTGCACCTTTTATTGCTGTTTGCAAATGTTTTACGTATCAGGTAGAAAGCTGGAAGTATAATCTACTTTGTGTGCTTATGCATTTGCATTGTGTAAATAACTTTGATGCTGGTATTAGCTCTTGGCTGCTAAAGCAGCTCTAAGGACCAGCCTTCTAATTTAAATTTTAATGTAGGGACCTACAAATGCACTTAAATTGGGTTCCTAATAAGAAGCATTGGAAACTTAAGCTGGGCCTCCCTTCTCATTTCCCTTGTGAAGTGGCAGTTGGATTGTGGATTTTTTGCTAATTCATCCTTTCATCCTAGGATAAGAGGGACGACATCATTATCGGTGTGAAGTCAACAGCATTACAGTTCAAGGAGGACACGAAGCAGTGGCTCAGTGGCTTCAGCCTTGCAATGCTCCTGAGTTTGTGCGTGGCAGGAATGAATTGTAACCAGACGCTCCCGTATTACTCAGCTGTGGCTGCCATAGGGACTCACCTAGCGCACCAGGTCTGATGGATTTATTTATACTTTTTCCATGTGGAAGGTCTTGATAAGAAATCAGAGTGCTTTTCAATCCCCATCAATTCGCTAATGACATAAAAAAAAATTCCTGTAGAGAGAACTGAAGTCTTCTGACAATAAGCTTGCTTCTCTTAAGTACCTTTTGCAGACCTTTTGTTTGAAGAGGCCTCCAGTGGTCCGCAGACTGTAGAGCACTGTTTTTCAACCTGTGCCTAACCAAAAGAACTGCCTCACATTAAGCTGTGATCTCAAGGGAATGGTTTTCTTCTTGTTTCGAGTAGCTATAGCTAGATCCACCTCGGTATCCTGCAAGACTGTGCACTTTTGACTGTTCTGACACAGCTCTTGTTAGGTCTGGCGCATATGATCTGAGACTGCAAGTGATACATGTTATGATCGTTCACTTACTTTAAAAGATTATATGGTCTACAGTATCAAGGACATATGCAGACCCTTTTTTTTTCTTTATATATAACATGCTGTACAGTAGCTATATGAAAATGAATGTTGCATGTTCTGTCTCTCATAGATGGTTAATTTTACATCTAAATAATTATTCTATGCTGTGGTCTGGAGCTTCAGTCTGGGATCTGACAGTATAACAAAATTTTCTGTGGCTTGTTCACTACTACTTGTAGCAGATGTTAATATTATAATTTTATGGTAGTTGACAGTTATAATTCATAGTTCTTTTTATAGCAGAGAACAATCCAATTCAGTCTTGTAGTTGTGTTAGTTTAGAAATGTTAGTGAATAACAGAAAGAAAGAAATTAGCTTTGTCAGTAAAGGAACCAGATAGGATCTTGTTACCCTGTTCTTTCTGAATCTTAACAACTGTGTTGCCAGTCTTGTAGCACAAGTGAGTCTGTATGAAACTTAAATTGCTCGTCTTAATGGGTGAGTGATAGCAAAGAGGTTTGTGTGTTGCAAGTAGTAAAGTAGTCTGAGCAGTTAAGTCTGTGGTTAACATGAAACTTTTTAAAACGCATTAGACTTATGTTACACTTTAACGGGGGGAGCTCGTGCAGGTGATGGATATACCTCAGAGTAAGAGGATTCTTGCGATGTTGTAGTCTGGTGCTTGTCAGCCGCTGCTCTTCATAGCAGTTGTGCTTGGAAATCTATGAGGGAAAGAATACTACATTCTGCTGCATAATAATTTGCAGTTTGAATTGTCAGAGAGGCCTTACATTGTAGTTTGGCACAAATGGAATTTACTTCCCTGCAGGGTGGGGTTTTATAAGTGAGAATGGAGACCCATGGAATGCAAGTGGTGAAGCGTGCACAGC